TTGCCTAATCTTCTAGCTCTGGCGGTCTTTGAAAGTGATGTAGTTCAGAGGTTTGGCAGCAGAGATGGGAGAAAAATAGGATGGGATAGTGGCAAGGTCAAATGGTTATAGGGGAAGAGGATCTGAGCAACTGAAGATGGAAGAGTGAAAGCAGGCGGGAGTACGTCGCAGGAAAAAGAAGATATTAAAGATGCTTAAAGGGAAATTGATATGACATCTGGGAGCACATCGGAGACTGTCCTCCAGGAGGGCTATGAAAATAGGCTGCATGGGTGTGTACTGCGACTCACTTACTTCAATCTGTAGTTAGACTTTGGGCAAGTGACTTAGCTTCAAGTCTCAGATTCCTCAACCATAAAATGGGGATGACTTTATCGAGGTGTTGAAAGGATTAAATTAAGTAATAGAAGTAAAGCATTTAGAACAATGCCCGCCACAGAGAAGGATCCAGTAAATGTTACTTTTATCATTTTTCCTACCTAATTTCTTTTATTTCTAAAATAAAATTGTATGTTTAAATTGTACAACATGATGCCTTGATATACATAGATATAGTGAAATGAAATTGTGGTCTAATAATACAATGGAATATAATTCACTCTTAAAAAGCAAAGACATCCTGCTATTTGCAACAACATGGATGAGCCTAGAGGACACTATGCTAAGTGAAATAAGCCAGACTCAGAAAGAAAAAGCTACATGATCACATTTACCTGTGGAATCTAAAATAGTCATTTCCTACCTAATTAAAAAATTATATGAAGGGGCTTAACTACTATTGATTAACTAATGAAACATTCCTCTCTCATATTATTGGATTTATAAACTGAAAATACTATTCACATCATATTGATCAAAATAAATTTGCTATGGCAATACCACACTAGTCTTTTATAGTTTACTCCTTCCTTTTTGCCATTTGTGTTTTTATTTTTTAAATTGATTTGAGAGAGAGAGAAAGAGAGAGAGAGAGAGAGAGAGAGAGAGAGAGAGAGAGAGACAAAAATGTGAAAGAGAAACATCCATCCATTGCTTCCTATACACGCCCAGATCAGGGATAGAATCCACAACCTGGGTATGTGCCCTGACCTGGAATCGAACCTGCAACTTTCAGTGTATAGGGCGATGCTCCAGCCAACTGAGCCACATAAGCCAGAACTTCTTTTTGCCATTTGTAAATTTCTGGCTTCAACATCTATTATTTTCCACTTCTCTGGTACATATGGATGTGGAATATTAGGAGACAATTGTAGCCCTTTTAAGTATAATACATAAATTTCATAGATATAGGAAAGAAAAGCAGCATGGGATACTTAATAACCTTTTGTAAGAGCCATTAAATTATAAAAATAATACCATCTGCAGTAAAGGGTTTTATTTTTTAGAATATATTTTTATTGATTTCAGAGAGGAAGGGCGAGGGAGAGAGAGATAGAAACATCAATGATGAAAGCGAATCATTGATTGGCTGCCTCCTGCATGTCCCCTACTGGGGACTGAGCCTACAACCTGGGTATGCGCCCTTGATGGGAATTGAACCCAGGACCCCTCAGTCTGCAGGGCAATGCTCTATCCACTGAGCCAAACTGGTCAGGGCTGCAGTAAAGGGTTTTAGATTTCACAGGAATTATTAACATTTACAGATTAACTCTAAATTGCTTTTTTTCCCTATTATAGTATCTTTCAGTTACAGGCCCATTATTTTCCAAATGTAACTTAGTTATTAACTTAAAGGTCAACCTGAATTTCCATAATTCTTGCTGCTATACATCCACCCTGCCAGAGCTGTTAATGGGCAATGAAATGCCTACAATATGTAAAGGAAAGAAAGAAGTGGAAGAAGAGAACCCAAGAAGCGAGTGAGCATATAGATTTGAAATACAGGGTGGGGTAAATGAAAGTTTACAGTTGTGCGTATGTGAAACAGAGTTTATTCTTGGATTATTATTTATTAACTATTGTATTATTTTCTATCTGCACAACTGTCAACCTACTTTTTCCCTAACTTGTATTTGGGGGTTGGCAATAGTGTTATGTATTATTTTCTATGAGTAATAGGTGGATTTTAGAAATACTTAAAACCTGGACAGGCACCATAAATAAAAATGCATAATTCAGGAGTAAAGTGCACTTCAATGAAAGCTGCTTCAGGGTTTTTTTTGTTTGTTTTTTAAATAAAAAGAGAACTTCTGTTTCCCCAAGACCTAACTTTGAGTTAAGGCAGAGGTAAAGATTCTGGACTGTTGGATGCGATGAGGCGTTAGGAGTCATGATCTCTTCCAGGTGGGCAGCCAACAAAGCTACTTGAACAGAACAGCGGTCCGGCCTCCTGTCACTTGGGGAACTCAGAACCAATCGAGCAGGACATCAGCCAGAGAAGGCAATTCCTTCCTAACGAAACAGAATGGCACTTGTGTGGGATGATATAGAAAATGGATGGCAGAGGCCGTTCTGATTTGAGATACAGTAGAGAGGAGGACTTCTGTTTCTGTCTGTCTGAACTCTGAGACATCTTTGCCATAACTGAAAGTACTGTGATGAATAGTGCTGACTCTTGGAGTCCATGAAAAATGCTTTTCCTCTGGCCAAACATACAAGTAAAATTCATTTTTCATATTCAGAATCCAGGTTCTATAAATTTTATATTTAGATGTGCTCAGCTCACCCCTAAGGACCTCCATAGCACACAGTCGAATGCTTTTTGAAGCCCACATTCACAAAGGGTATGAACCCACTGGGGCTAATTTATTCTTCCAGCACAGCGTGAAGCCAGAGCGAGGCCTGAAGATGTCGGCACACCCCCGCTTTCCCTGGGATGCTGTGATGTGGTGAATTGGGGCTCTGTTATGGGCTGAATTGTATCCCATCAAAATTCATAGGTTGCATCCTAATCCCCAGTACCTCAGAATGCCAACCTATTTGGAGATAGGATATTTAAAGAGATAATTAGGTTAAAATGAGGGCATTTGTATGATCCCTAATCCAATAGGACTGGTGTCCACATAAAAGGAGGAAATCTGGACATAGAGGGAAGATAAAGTGAAGACACAGAGAAGGTGGCCATCTATAAGCCAAGGGGATTTCAGACTTGTAGCCTGCAGAAGGGGAAAAACACATTGCTTTTGTTTAAGCCATCTAGTCTGTGGTACTTTGTTATGGCAGCCGTAAAGCCTAATAGGGCAACTCTATTTGTCCTAGGAACTGTTAAACCTCATTAGACATTCCATGTCTACATTCAAGAACGCTGATCTTCCACTATTAGACCTGGTGTTCCTTCCACTTAGGGGGGAAATCAATGTAAGGAGAGGGGTTTGGTGGAAATACAGGTGAACAAAATGAAGAAATAAAATATAACTATGATTGCACCACTTAGAGGTAACTTCATATACTGCCAATCTTTCTAGACTTTACTATAAATACTTAAATTCACACACACACACACACACACACACACGAAAATGGAATCATTTACTTTTTGTGATCATCTTTCCATATCAATAATTTGGAATTTATAGCATCACTTCTAATGTCTGATATCATTTCAGTGCATCAACTATATCCTAGAAGTGGAATTGGTGGGTGGGGTGTGTCCAAGCTTAGGCATATGTAAAGGCCTTTGAGATATGTTGCCAAATTGCCTTCCAGAAATGAGACATTCATTTATATTCAGAAAGCCTATTTTGAGAGCAACATAAAGCCCTGTAACTGTTAACTCTTGACTCAGCTGTTCATGGGCTTTCAGCCAAATGCCTAGGGAGTTGAGTGTGGAAACCAGGGGACACTGAAAATCTGTGTTGCCAGGGCCTCAGCACACTCCCTGATGGAGGAGTGTCCAGGGCTGGTGGAGGGACATTTCCTACCTTAGGAAATTGACAGGTGGCGGGAGCCTGGTAGGATCAACACCCTGCAACTGGGAAGGGAGCCGCAAGCCCCACCAGGAGGGGCCGCCTCTGGTCAGCTGCTAGGCTTCTCCTGGAGGGCGTGGCATCCATGGGATTGTGGAGAACGAAGTGGGAAGAGGGACTCACGTTGCTCACTCTCGTCCCCAAGGATCTATGAATGGGCTGGGAGGGACCCATGGGCTGAAGTTTGAGGGATTTCACTGCAAGGAGACTGAGGTCACTGAGATGACCCTCGGCTGTGAATTTTGTCCCTCGGGCTTTCGGGGCCTGGGAAAATACAGGTTATGCTAGGGAATGAGACGAGAAGGACTGATAGCCTTCGCAGTTTCCATGCATTAATGGAAGATGCCATTTGGTTTTGGTTCCTTGCCCAGTACGAGAGATCCCAGGGGGCACACTTCAAAGGAAAGCCAAGCTAATCTTAAATGAAAAAGAAAATGTTTTCTTTCATAAACACAAAAATTATGTGGCACTCGATAAAATGTGCTGGCAAGTAAATGTCTGACATGTCGTGTGATAAATAAAATAGGTTAATTCCTCTTGGGAGAAGGACTTGAATGCCACTTATCATTAGATAGGAACTTTCAACGGGACCTTTCTAAGGAAGATAAGCGGTGGCCTCTGATTTAGTAACGAACGGAGCACAGCAGACGGGAGAACAGCACCTTCACTGTTGCCCGGAAAGGGGCTGTTACCCTTCTCAGTGGGTTTCCAGACCCTCACAGAGTCTGCTTTGGGGGCCGGGCCTCTGCTCCTCAGACATAACCCACACATCCAAAGGACAGTCACGTTGATCTTGGTATAGACCTCGTCTAATAAATGATAATGTGTTGTAGGGATGAGTGCAGAATTAACAACATTTTGTTGGATTTCTTTGAAACTGAGATTTAGCTGCCAAAGTTGCTTCCCAAAAGTAAACGTAGGTTTCGTACATTTGCCCGAGGCAAGGACTAAATTTCCAATAAAACAAACGAGCGATTCTTCCCCGGAGGTTGTTTCCTTCTATCTCCAAGTGGTACCGAGGAGAATGAATTACTTCATAATCTCACTCACTGTCGCCTATCAGATTGAAAACGGTTATGGAAAAGCAGCGCTTACCGTCTACCACGGGTTTGGGCTGAGAACTTTTGAGGCGCAGCGAGGGCCGGAAGCGGGTTCGGTCGTTGAAGCTCCAGCTCTTCTGCACTTTGGTGGGGCTGCCCTCGGCTGTGATGTCGGTGCTCGGGGACCTCCTGTCACCTATCGAGGCTTGTCTGCTCTTAATACTCTGGCCTCTTGGGCTAGCCATGCGCACCCGCTCCTTAAAACTTAGCTTCTGACTGTGGACAACAGAGGCACGGTTATTCCATTTCAAGCAGTTTCTTCCATGCCACGTGGGCAAATAATTTAATGAAATGGTATATGGTCATATACTTCAGTAAATAAAATGTTTTTAGCAAGTAGGAGCATAGAAATAAATTTTCCTCCTATTGAAAATCTGAGTTTTGTTTAATCTGTTTGCATTCATTTGACATTAATCTCATGCTACACACCCTTTCTGGATTCATCATAGAAAGAGCTAAGATCAAGTGCAGTAGTTTGTATACAATTAATTACACTGGAAATAGCCAAGAACTGGTTTAGTCATCGCTTTTAAACAGATTTTAGTTTTAACCTCAACTTTTGAGATTAAAAAATAAGTTACTTTTTTATTTGGGAGCATCTCTTTTTATAATTTCTAAACATTTCTACAGGAAAACAGGGAGACAGTTACATATACATATATATCTACATTCTGCATGCATTTTATATTCCAGGCAAGATTACGATATCCATAAATTCATGCAATCTCATAGCAGTTGGTAGCCCTGCGTACGTAATATTAAACATACCAACACAAGACCGCACTTCTTTTATGCTGACACTCATTCTTGTGAGATGAAACCACACAAGGTACAACAGCCCCAACATAGAATGAATGTGATGACTGATGAACAGAATGAGACGTCATGTTCACTAACACAATTTCCTGCTCTTAAACAGGTTTATTGATTTGCTGTGGCAGCTACTGGTAAATTATATTTGTTCAGGTATTCAGTTCTTAGATGCCAGCTAGGATTGAACTGTTGTGGGTTGATAAAGGAAACATTAACAACAATGATAAAATCCAAAGTACTGCCCGACCGGCATGGCTCAGAGGTTGAGTGTTGACCTATGAACCAGGAGGCCATGGTTCCATTCCTGGTCAGGGCATATGCCTGGGTTGCCAGTGGAGGGCGTGCAGAAGGCAGCCAATCAATTGTTCTCTCTCATCATTGATGTTTCTGTCTCTCTCTCCCTCTCCCTTCCTCCCTGAACTCAATACCATTATTAAAAAAAAAATCCAAGTGCATCTCCATGTTTTCCTGATTAAGAGATGTGGGGCGATGTGGTGGGAAGGGCAGACTGAAATCCAAGAGGCTTGGGTCCTGGAGTCCTCATCTCTCACACGGAGACAACAGTAACAAACCGGCTAAGGGATTCCTGTGGGAGTCAAATGAACTGCAAGAAGCTTTGTGTACCTATTTTGTTTGTGTTCTTGTTTCATTTAGAAACTGCTGTGTTATTTATTAGAAAGTGACCGTTATCAGGTAAGAGGTCCAGGACTTTCCAGGGCCTGCAGACATGAAGGGTGTTGGATTGGAGGGGAGTCATTGAAGCAGCTACGCGGAGCTGCTGAGACCTGCAGCGTTTGTGGGGCGTGAAGCAGTGTTCTCATGGAAAGGGATTATCTGAGACGAAGTGGAGGCCTGGTCTTTTCCACTTACCGCAACGTCCACTGTCCCCAACTGCAGCATGCCAACAGCAAATGTGTTTAGTGGATATGTGTTTTGCAGCTAACAAGAAACAGTAACATTTATTTTTCCATGCCTAGTTGCTTAACAAATGATATTCTAAAACACCACGTTTTATGTGTGTTTACATGAAAACAAATCAAATAATGAACTATGGTGATCAGAAAGTCCTGGGAACAATAACAATTGACCATGCAACTGACAGCTCTCCTCGGAAACGCAGACGTAGCTAATCCAGCACCACTAGCTGAAGGCACATGCAAAGAACAGGCTGGGCAGTTTTGTGACGGGGTCAGGTGGGTGCAAGAGTCCTTTAAAACAATCCCATCAGTCATCGGCTTTTTCTGTACTTGATAAGTGTGTGATTAAATGGTAGATTACATTAAATAACGGCAACAATAACATCATAAAACTGCATCTTTTTATTCTCAGGCTAGGTTCTACATGTCCTCTACAGCCTTCAAATTATTTCAACAAATCCTTCAAGGGATAGTGCCCCAAATGACTGACTACTCTTCTCAAGCTTTTTTAAATTTTTTGGAGGTAAAAATTTCAAATCTCTTTTCAGTGTTAGCACATCTGTTCCATCATTGAAATTTATGATGATCTGGTTCAGGAACATATGCTTACCTCTGCACCTTGATTTAGATTAATGAGTGGCTTAAGTGGACATGGCTATCATTACAAGTGTTCTCACTATACTCGATCTAATCGATTACCTTTTCTGGAACAAACTGATCCTAATTATTACAGAAGGTTGCGTGTTAGTTAATATAAAATTATTTTTTTCAAACTTTCAAGATATATCTCTTTCCTAGGTCAGTTAAATGAACAGAAAACTGATAAATATATCACAAAAACATTTGATATAGAATCTAATTTTTCCTTAAAAATATCTCAATTACTAAAAAAAGTAACAAATACCCCAAATAAGTATCAAATCCACTGTGGCTCATTTACAATAGCAAAATATGTAAAAACAATTGTTTCCATGAAAATATTTTAAAAATTGCTCCTTCGAAGTATTTTGATATTATCTCTAAGAATAAATGGAAAGTGAAAATATTATTCTCTGAATCTTAATAGCATTTAAAACACTTAAAGTTGGTATGAGTTCTAGGTACCGTTTTGCCTTCTGTCCTAAGTTACATGAATATTTGCCCATGTCTACTATTTAAAAAATTCTCAAGAACTCTTTTAAAGTGAACTCAACATGTTAGAAACATATTAACCACATGGAATTAGAAAAAAATGCAATATTTTCACTCTCTCTTTTGACATAATTGTATGAAAGTTACGAATAAGATCCCAATCCAGAACTTTTAAACCAGGCAACATTTGTTTTATTAGTTTTCCTACTTCATTTCCTCTTTGGAAATCAACAGAACATCTTGATTAGATGGCTATTAAACAGATTAGGCAGCCATTATTGAAAACACATATTGATGAAAAAATATAGGTTCTTCACTGGCCCATTGAAGTTTTCATTATTTTCCTGTTGTGTGTGTGTGTGTGTTGATCAATAAACATGATTTTATATAAAGGAAGATTTAGGTAACATTGTTTTTTTGGAAGAATGCCAAGGATTATCCCCAGGGCAACAACAAAGAGGCCACTCTTTGGAGAAGGTAACTAAAGGGTCTCTGTGGCCATTGACTGCAGCATCTGAGTAGGCAGTCTCACATTCCCAGCTGAAGACTATACCCAGGGGAGCCTGTACAACTGCTCTGCTAGGGAATTCTTCCCTCTCTAGGAACCAGATGCACAATTTACTCAAACGGCCTAGCATGCAGTCTACTAGTGGGTAGTTCCTGCCAGAGAATGGTGTGGCATCACTGTAAACCCACAGTAATCCTCTTGGACTTAGAATGCTGTAGTTATTGTTATATTTAATTAGGGTTTTAGCCCTTCATAAGATAAGCATTCTACAAATGCTCGCCTCAGGCACAATATGGCAAGTGAGCCATTAACAATCCAGTGCGTGCAGCAGCTCAGCAGTTGTTCCACCACAAGGAGGCGCCAAGGGGATGACTGCCAGTACTGTGCGGGACCCTAGCAATAGGACAAATGTGTCCCAAGGGTCGAGAGTATCAAAGCAGGCAACAGGCAAAAAGGAAAATTACAAGCGGGTTGAAAACCCCAGTCGAGGAGTCCTTAAAAAGAGTGAGTCTCAGAACAGGGCTCAAGTAGGATGGCGCTGAAACCTGGTCATGCACCTGAGGCTAGCTGGCATTCTCAAGTCTCATGTCAATAGCTGGGATGCTGGGTACCTCTGCTTCCGTGTGGTGTACATTCTGAAGAGCTTCTGCTTATTACTACAGAACTGACTAGGAGCGAGGGAAATAGAGTAGCACATTATTAAGCATTTTACCACCAGGAACGTGCTGAGGGATTTTATTTTCCATTTTGAAAAATAAAGTCATGTGTTTATATTGCTTTTTCAGATATAATAATACAGCGTATTTAAGCAGTAAGTACTATGCAGTTTAATTGTGCTGCTCAAAATATATCTAGTGCTCTTAATGGTTAGAATGAAATAATTAGCTTTGATAGAGGCATTAGAAATGATGATAATCTCTGTGTTAGCATATGATACATATGAAAATAAGAATATAAATATTTTAGAATACAGCAACCCTTATAATTAATAGCAGTGCAACATAGTATAAATAATCGAGGAACAAGATATTTCAGAACTATAAAAAATATTTACAGGAAGTTGGTAACATTAATTGCTTTGAAATAAAAAAAATAAGTTCTGGATTTGTATGAAACACCTGCACTTATAGTTAATACAGGTAACCAAGTGTCAGGTAGAATACCTGTTCAAAATGACAGAAGAAAGGATTCTAGGTTGCTAGTTTGTTAGAAAAAAGTTTTTTATTTTAAGTCTTATGATGTGCTTTTTCCCCATCTATAAATAAATGTGAACAGAAGAGACCACTTTGAAAAAAAAATTTGAAACAAGCTAACATTTTGCCAATAAGGGCACAGGTTGGCTATCCTGGGAAAAAAGCCTAGTCTTACTGCATTTAACAACACATGCAGATCATTCATTGCAGACAGAAGAAAGGAGGTGTAAATAATGGAAAATAAATGCAGAAGAAATATAACATAGTCTTTGCATCAGTGTTCTAGAGTTCTTTCCTAAGAGCCACACATTTCCTTCATGCCTAATAAAGCCAGCCATGGAGGAGCCATTTGGACAAGGCACTCAGCGGATTGCAACACAGTCTTGTAATGTAATAAAAGAATATCATTTATGCTTTAACTTTTAAGACGATGCGTCTTTATAACAGTCTCACAACTACCTGTTATAGCAACTCTAGGTAGTCTACTAAGAAGTCTGTCTGAGTTCTGTTAATCCCTTAGAAACTGCAAGCAAGGCAGCTGAACTCCGAAGCACATATTCAACAATGGTTGAGAAGGAGACAGGGTAAACAGAGGCACACAGCTTTATAAATGATCCCTGAACCTCCGATGGTATGATTTATTCTTGTAGCAATAAAAACTTAACAGGTAGGAAGAAGTAAAAGCCTGCTTGTACCAGCGTGATGGCTAATTTACCAACTACTTGATGGCTAACTGACCTTGTCAAGGAGGGAGGGATGAGGACATAAAACCTCAAGGCGAGAATAATGGCTTAATCTGGCTCGATGGGTTTACAGACCAATTCTATTCTCTGAAAGTGATAATTTATACCCAAACAAAGAAAAACTGCCCAGTTTAAAAAGTGAGTTGGAAGAATTACTTAATGGAATGATTAATCAGAATAAAATTAATAAGCACATTCACTACCACATATGAAATTAGAGCTCTTTTAGTGGGAAGACAGAGGAAAACCAATAAATAATTAATTTACGTTAAAGAAGTTGTATTTATGGTCTCAGTAGAGGAAGAACAGAGCAGGCTCAGTTGAGACTAACAGTAATTCGTACTTGAACCTCTACCAAAGAGAGTCAAAGAAATATTATTTTCACTGTTGTTCAGTTGAGCTCTTCTTGAGACTGATGGTATTTTTAAAGAAAAATTTGGATCTGTCACAAACAATGCTAAGCCATGTCAGAACTGGATGTCTTTCTTAGTGGCCTCAGTCATTGTAGATGAATTTTTTTGAACATACCCTGACCTCAATGTGGAAAGACAAAATATCTTTAACAAGAATAGTCCAGAGCAGGGAACCTAGTTCACTCAGTATGATCCTTAATCCATTCTGCAGAGAGGAAAATCTCTCTGTGTATAGGACAGCCCTGTCTACAATGTGGCCTTCTCTTCTGGAGGGATTGAGTGCCAGGCACCAGGAGAGGGCTACAGTAGCCTGCTGTATTGAACTTATCTACACTTGGGTTATTCCCAGTTCTTAACACAATGAAACACTAGGAGGAAGGATTTAGGGGATCACAGGCTCTGAGATACCTGGTGAGTTGGCTAAAGGGTATTTATTTTGCTTATCTGAATCACCATCAATAACCCAATAGCCCCAATCTGTCAAGTGCTCTCCATGTGGGCTGTATTCATCATTCCAATTAAAAGTGGGCCAAGCATTAATCAAAAATATTCTGGACCCAGATCTGCTTTCTGCTGAGGGAGAATTCTCATTATAAATGCATTTTCCTTTGTGCATATTTTGGTTGAGAAAGGACCAATTTGTTATTTCCTAAGATGGTACTGTTGCCATTGTTATTACAATAGTCTTTCTACATTTATTATGCAATGTTATAAATTTCATTGCCAAGGTGAAAGCTAAGGTGATAGTAAAACGGGAGCTTCAGCTTCTTCCCTTCAGATTATTGAAATGTTTTTTCAGTTATTCTCTCTTTATGTTTCTCCTTTCCCCCCATTTTTGTTGCTGTTTTCTCTTTTTGCATAAACTACTTGAGATCAGAGACATTTTATTACACTATCCAAGAATTACTGACTAAGCACATTCCCTGTCAGAGTTTACACAGGGTGATGTGATATATGTTTGGCAGATAGAATACCTAAGTGTCTGAACAGTAAGTAAGGCATGCATGCTAAATAGTAACACGCGCATGGCGTGTTTCAAGGTGGTTTTGCCAAATGTCCAATGACCACAGAGAAGCAAGAACTCCCTGTGTGTGATTTTCTGTGTCAATAACTTAGCTCAGTTGTTCTGAATATATTCAGATCCTCAAGTGAGTTACCTTTGATAAGCTCAGACACGAGTATGCAGAAACAATTGTAATGTTTCAGGTACATATGAGCATCAGGAAGTTGGAAAAGCTTGGTTGGCACATTTTTGACAGCTGACTACGAAGTTCATTTTTTGACTGAGGGGTTGAAGCTCAATAGTTACTTAAAAAGCACACACACACACAATTCTGAGTAACTTAATGGAATAAGTGTGCTGGAACTTTCATAGAAATGTGTTTCTCCAGGCTAGTGTGCCATCACAATGAGGATGTGCGATAGTTACCTTTTAACCCTGTGTCTGCTTTCTGCCTTCCTAACATTTGGAACAAGAGCAATATCATCATGTGAGCCCAAGGTGACCCTCACTTAGGACGGCCACAGAGGTTGCAAACTCCCCCTTTAGGTGCCAACAGCTCTGTTTTGGAGAATGAAACCAAGACAGGTGACCTTACTCTCAGGTGGCTATCAGGTTTGTGCCAAAGATGGTATCTGACCTTAGCATTTGGAGACAAATCACTCTTTGAGATAATTTGTAAATGGCTAACTCCTGAGACAAGGAAAGCTTTTAAAATACCACCAAAGATACTAAACAGCTTACAATGTTTAATTCTGTGTAACTTTTTTTCAAGTAAATTTGTCACAACACAAGGATGGCGGAGTCTGCTCTAACTCTATTCCTACCAAATAAGAGAAGGGCCTTTAGTGGCCTCCCCTGTGTAGGCGTACCTGCCACATCTATTGCCATCATAAATGAACCCATTTGTGATTTGATTTGTGAATCTCGTTGATCTAGGCAGAAATGGGTGACCCAGAACCTCATCACCCCAAGTGAACTTTCAACACTAGTTTCAGTGCTGTATACAGTTCAGTAAGTATATTATGATTAATGCCGCTCGAATAATGAAGCTAAAGGAACAATTCCTGGACCCACACTGACCCCCACCTGAGGGCTAACGCTGGGCAGGAGACGCCTTTGTGGCCTCATTACTGAAGCAAGTGGCAATAACGGAAAAAAAGACTTGTGTCCCTTCTTCCCTCCCAGGCACCTGGGATTCTCCTGCTGGTCCCGCCTCTGCTACATCTCACGCCATCACCTGGCTCTGTCCTCCAGGGCTTTGCTCCCAGACCCAGATCCTTGGGGTCCTTGCTGGTACTCACTAATACCAATTAAAATGATGCCCTTCACGTCCTATTCCCTCTAGGTCTAAATCTCTGTTGTCTGATGAAGCATTCCCTTCTAAGGCATAAAAGAATGATCCTAAATTATTTGGTTAAGTTTCTGGGAGGGTTATCTTCCTTTTAAAGGATGGGGTGGGAGGCTCTTCTTTTGAATCAGGTCGCCTAAGTAAACCTCAGCACTCAGTGAGCTGGAGATGCCGCACAGAGACCGTTCTCACCTTCTGTACACAGTGTTCCTTTTGCCAAAAAATAAAAACCCCACAGAACAACCAACCAAGCCCAATGTCTCACTCTAAAAGAAGGACCCCGATGAAGGGAGTGTATCTTATACTGCTTTTTGGGATTTAAATACTTGGGTGAGACTTCTGTCTGGGAAAATGGTAGCAAGGAATAACCAAAGACTATTAATGATTATTTCCCCCCGGAATGTTGCACGCTCTGCAGATTGTGAAAAGCAGTGAGTGGGTTAGGGAAAGGCACTTATGCTCCCAAGGGGAGGAGGAATCGATAACACAGCAACCTCTGCAGGCAATCCTGGGAAAGGCCACTTTTAATCACTCTGTATTTGTGGATCGATTTTACTCACATGAGACACATTTAAAACATCTGTTAGGCACAGATTTATAAACAAACATGTAGCAGAAAAGATCACAAACCTGCTTGATGCTTCCCCTTGTTCTTTCCTTCAGGTGCGTGCGGACAGAAGAGAAATGATGATAAACTGGTGAATACATTTACAGCACTTGATAATGGCCCAATTGGGGGTTGGGGGACATAAGTACCTTAAGTAATTCATTTCAAGCAAGATCCACAGAAGCCATCTTAAAAATAAAGAATGTATCTAGCTTTTTAACATATATTCTTTGTGGCACAGACCAGAGATAGCATAGCATCTACTTAGCAAAAACAATACTGCCTACATGTAATGAAAAACTATGGGCGCTTCCACAGCCAGAGTTACCCATGGCTACAGAAAAGTGGTTCTGATCTGATCAGCTTTAGCAGAGACCCTTAAAGCAGTGCCGGTCACACTGTAGCTGTAGTCCCAGAGCTTTAGACAGACGTTTGGGTTCTTAACCTGGATTCATGAATGTGCGGCTTATGTACCTCAGTCACTTTGAGGCAGACGCTGTTTTCCTATTGTATAAAGTACGAATTCCCTTGGAGCCTAGTAGGCACATAGGAATCTGTTAGAACTCTTCCAGCCCAGTGTTGGGTGGTGTTCTTAATTACCGAATTTAGCAAACCCAGGTCTATACAACATGGTGCAAATGACCCGTTGTCCTTGGGTGGACACCTCACTTTCCTGTGGGTCTTGATTTTCTTATGAATAAATTGAAGGCATTGAATTAGATAATATCTAAATTCTGACTTCGTAAGATACCGCTGGGCATCCGTGCACTTGATAATTCCCTATAGCTTCATAAAATATGCGACTCATTCCCTAAAATAACATGTTTACCAATGTTTCACCCTTCGCATAGTCTTCATTCCCTTCAAGAAGAAAATCAAGAAAAATATGTTCCCTTTATGAATCCTTTTGTTATAAACAAAAACTTAAAGTAGCAATTGTGGAAACCTTAAAGGAAATGTAAGAGACAAGCCAGACCAGAGAGGAGAGTAAGAAATTGCTGGTGTGTCCTTGGCAGGTTTGAGTGAGTGTGGCATGCCCCTCACCCTGCCCCTCTCTACCCCACACAGTTCTCACTCCTCTCTCCTATATTACTCCTCAGAAGAGGTGGTGGAGTCAATGCATCCCATTGTATTTCTAAACTGTGGGGAACAAGAGCCTGGTTGGTTTTTTAATGATGATGATGAAGATGATGATAATGCTATTGGTAATATGATCACTTTGCTGACCACCTATTTAAAACTGCAGCCCCTAATGCTTCTTAAATTCCTTCCCTATTCTACTTTTCTCTTTAGCACTCACCACCCTCTGATCTAGTAAATATTTCACTTATTTATTTTTATTGTCTCTTCCCAGCAATCCTTGAGTATACTATATTCCCCAAGGTCCGAGATTCTAACTGGTTTGTTTTTGTTTTTCTCTTTCACTGCTGCATTACTAGTGCCTTGGAACAGTGCCTTGCACATAATAGGTACTCAATGAATCCTTGTTGAATGAATGCATGCATGAATGAATGATCTCTCCCTTGGGAAGTTTTTAAGCCCTAAATGTTATGGATTAAATGTTCCTATTTACATAGAAAGAAGTTTTGGTTTGTTTCTTACTACATATCACTTTGTGCTCATAAGACACTTGGTTTTATAAATGTAAAAATATCCCTCGAAGTCACTGTAAATTATTTACCTCACAAACCCACACACTTGATTAAAGCAGGTTTGCTTTCTAAAACAGAGATTCTGAACTTGGCTTCAGGGAGTTTATAACTACATTAAAATTGTAGGCAAAGTTTTTCCACAATTACCATCCCATTCTCAGCAATTTAACAAAGAAAAATGACAACAACAAAGATTAAGAACCACTACAGTTTAGAACAACGAAGCACGGCTGGTGGGAGAGATGTTAGCACACCCGGGATCCCATGAACTTGGCCAGTGGCTGCGGTGTCATTCTGGACAAATCCCTGTTATTCAGTAAATGGGGCTGAGTCTCCGGGGTGAGTGAGGGAGTGCAGGGAAGGGGAGTGAGAGGTGGTTGATAGTCACAGTGGAACAGAATAAATGCAGGTGTCTGCATAAATTCTCCTCTACTCTGTCCCCACTTAAAACAGGAAAAATATCAAAGGAGAAGAGAGAAACTATGTGAGTAAAATAAGTTTATGCATTGGAAGAGTCTGACTCATTATTAAAGTTTTTCCAGGCTTCAGAACGAGTTTTCTTCCAAAAACCGTGGAAGGGGAAAGCCAATCAATCACATGTGCTGACAGGCCACTCTCTTCGGTCACCTGAGAACCGTCTTTTGGTTTCTCTGCAGGCCTTCCTCTTATGCATTTATGAAGAAAAGAAATACAATTTTTATGTAATTCCCAATTTTGATTCATACCCCCAAGGAATAGACAGTACAAGAGTTATATTCCTTTTTTCTTCCCTACTACAACTTTGAAAGAGTCCAGTATTCAATAAAGGGCATTTAACTACATTTTAAGATCTAAATGAAGAGGATTCTCGTCCACACATTCACTCAACGGCACCCATGCTTCTGTTCTTGCTAAGGTCCCTCCCTTTTAAAATCCTGGCGTTCCATGACTATCTCTGTCACAGGTGCTGGCAGAGTTCTGATACCAACTTTTAGGAGACATGCCCATGAGAGCTCGGAAGTTATCTTGCCCAGCTCTTGCCCTTCACTTTGTGGATGGGAACACTGAAGCCCAGGGCAGGACAGGGAAGCCATACAGCAGATCCTGTCAGTTACTGATGGATCTGCCGCCCTCTACAGTGTGTATTCTGCTGCATCACAAATGAACTTTTGAGACTTCAATTCCAGGGAACACCTCATGAAGGCTTCCTCAGCCCATTTCTCTCTCACATCAGTAAGAAAGAAGTTTCCGAGTCATAGTAGTTAGATGCCTTGAATCCTATGAAGACACTGGGATGAAGGTTTCGTTGGATTATGAAGGGAAATGGCTGATGCTCTAAAATCCTAGCTCAGATAAGCAATTTGATAATGTGTGAACAATCTGAGGAACTGACCGCTGTAACCAAGCTGGGTGACTCACAGAAAGCCTTTCCCTTGACTTAAGTATTTTGGTTATTTCAATGAAGAGTTCTTTAATTAGATGGTGATTATGATTTAATATGTGCTCTGCCAGTGGAACTGGAGTCCAGGATTCGAGGACTAAAGATTGTTTTTGAAAATTAAACTTCACTGTCGTAACCATCAGGACTGTTCATAACTTTTCTGGTTCTCCTCTCTTTCCAGGCACGTGGTAGGACTGCACTCCCTGTCCTCTTGGAGTTTTGCTTTGGCCAATGAAATGTGAATGTAAGTAATATTACTTTAAAATTCTGAGTGCTAATTCCAAATTTTAATTTGTTTGGTCCCATTGCTTCACTGTAAACTGTAATCCTATTAGGATTCCAACTCTTCTCTTATTTTGCTATTAATGTTAATTTGATCTGCAGGTAAAAGCTGGAGAGCCAAGGGGATCTAAATGAGAAATGACTTTGAGGAACTTCAATGTGCAAAGACATATTGCTTTCAAAGCACTCCCTGTTTGGGGTCAGGTGATGGATGGAGTTTAAACAACCATTATTTTTCAAAAATAGTGGTGCTTACCTTTAGAATTCTGGTGGGTTTTATGAAATGAGATATTAGAAAATAGTATCATGAAATAGTGGAAATAAATCTCTATAAAGTTTAAATTCTTTTAATCTTTAAATCCCATCAATGGATGGTGAGGAATGACACTAGGTCAATTGAGCTTTGTGCCTGAGTTGCTATTAAAAAGGTTTGAAAGAGAAGCAGAGAATAAGACAGACCCAAATTGACACTGTGCGCATGTGTGCGCGTGTGCGTGTATGTGTGTGTGTGTGCGTGCGTGTGTGTGTGTGTGTATATGTATGTGTATGGTTTGTTTTGCAAATTTGAAGAGTCTCGACTACAGCACCAGCTGTCACACTGATACCTACTTGGTGGGGCTGCAGGTGTGCAGGGCCTTCAAATGCGGCTTCCAGGTTGCAATGGAAACAGATTTTTCATCAGCTGCATAACTACGCCAAACACACTGCATGCAATATACATGGGGACATAAAAAAAGAAAAAGAAAAGAGAGAAGAAGATAGAATGAAATAAAGGGCTATTATTAAGTTAATACACATGAAGAATTTTTAGCCCTGAAAAATACCCAAAGGGCTGACGACTTGTTTGGCATTTTCAGCTGGCTATTAAACATATTGTGCCACATAAGTAGAATTGCTTTTCAAAACAACTCACACCAAAGAACAAACATACTAAGAAGTCCAACATGAAGTAATTTTTGAATCAGTTAGGGACGACTATGACATTACCTGAGGTAATCTTCCCCAGCGTGAACATGCATTGCAAGACCCAACTGCACATCTTTAGTCACTACTTGATAAGATGGAGGCAGACGACTACTAGAAACTCACAATGCAACTAGTAAACTGGGTAGTAAATTAATGATCACCAGAGTATGTTAATGATTTAGTGAAATTTCATGAAGTTGAACCGTGCAACACTTATAATGCTACAAATGAAGACAGTGCTAAACAAGATAGAGGAAAATGTATTCTCTAGGAATATAACTGGAAGGCACTTAAGGATTTAATGTCATGGTCTAAGAATACATTTGCAGCTCCTTGGTATAAACAGAACTCTGTCTACTTCATATAATTCAGGGGTGGGGAACCTTTTTTCTGCCAAGGGCCATTTGGATATCTATACCATCGTTCCCAGGCCATACAAAATTATCAACTTAAAAGTTAGCCTGCTATATTTGATGAAACATTTAATTAACTCACCCCTAATGCCTTGGCAGGGCCAGATCAAATGATTTCGTGGGCTTCATATGGCCTGTGGGCTGGATGTTCCCCATCCTGATATAATTATACCTGACATATATAATATGAAGTATTTCCATGTAAAATCCTCACCGAGTATGAATTAAGACCCCCATTTTACAGATAAGAAAATAAAGGCTCAGATAAAATAAGATGTTTACACAAGGTTGGTAGGGTTGACATTATCTCCGGTGACTGGCTCCTGCTTTTAGAATCCCTCACTGTCCTTTGCTGACTGCTTAATGATTGTTGGAAAAGCTTCCCTCTGACGCTGTCCATTGCCTGAACTTACTGTTTATATAGATTCTGGCAAATTTCTTCCTTTGTAATAAATCTGAAAATGTTTCTAATGACCAAGTGTTGACTCAAAAATCCTGAGAGAAAATTTTGTCATTATAATTCATTAATCAAAGCATTCTATTTTATGTAGCAACCTAGAGGCCTGGTGCACAAAATTCTTGCGGGGGGGTGGGGGGAGGTCCTTCAGCCCAGCCTGCACCCTCTCCAATCTGGGATCCCTCTCGCAATCCGAAAGTGTTGGCTCCTAACCACTAGCCTGCCTGCCAGTCTGATCGCCCCCTATCTGCTCCCCTGCCAGCTTGATCACCCCCTAACTGCTCCCTGCCAGCCTGGTCACCCCCTACCTGCCCTCCCCTGCTGGCCTGATTGCCCCTAACTGCCCTCCCCTACCGGCCTGATTGCCTCTAACTGCCCTCCCCTGCCAGCCTGATCGCCCCTAACCATCTCTGCCTTGGCCCCCGCCACTGTGGCTTTGTCCAGAAGGATGTCTGGTCTAATTAGCATATTACTCTTTTATTAGTATAGATTTGCTTAAACAAGTCATATTCCTACTATATAACCACCATTCATGATTGTGAAACCTACAATGAAGAAAAGAGTTATCTAATAATATTCCTTTTCCTGAGTATCATTAAAGCAACGTGTGCTGAATAAAAAGTTAAAAATCAACACAACGGCTTTGGAAAGTTGTCTGGCTATTATCTAGCAAAGCTGAATACATGCAGACTCTCTGACATAGCTACACACTTCTTCATATATACTCAACAGATATGTTTATACATGTTCATTGAAATATATGTGCTATCATGCTGAAAACAACATGAAACTTCATAAACCTGCTCAAAAACCTATCAACAGTAGAATAAATAGATACATTGTGAATATTAACATAATGGAATAGTACACAGCTAGAGTACTCTACCACTACATTCAAGAATATGGATGAACTTTACATGAATAATGTGAATGAGAGAAACAAGACACAAAAGAGTACATGCTGTGTGATTCCATTTCCATAAAGTACAAAACCCAAAACTCCTCAGGGGAAACAAATTTTAAAAGGCAGCACAGTGGTTACCCCTGGGGACAGTGAATGAGAAAGGGTACAGAAAGGTCATATTCTGATTCATTCACTGGGTGCTGCTTACACACACAGCAGTGCTCAGTTCTCTTAGGATATGTGCTCTTTTCTGTATGCACATTATGCTTCAGTAAAATGTTCAAGAAGTGATATTAAAAACTAAAAAATTATGTAGTAGGACCTGAGGGTTTTTTAATATTATTAAAGAAGGTTTAAATAATTGAAGCAGGGTTCCTTGCCTAGAGTCTTACTTCCATGGCTCATGTTGATTTATCCTACAAATCTGTGAAAACTTATGCTGAGCATTGTGGCATCTTATAGAGAATAAAGCAAATATTGTTGTGTCAATGTTAGTTTTTGCAATTATTGCACAAACACGATTTACAGAGTGGTCTAAAGTAATCCATGAAAACACATGGATTTATTATTACAGCTTCCTATGTAGTGAGGCCCAGAGAGCCTCCAATACCATGAAGGCCTAGATGGCTGCTCTAATGAAACAATCTTCATACAAGGCACCATATATACATGAACTCAGACACTTTGAAAGCAAGAATCATGTAAAACTGGAAGTATACAGCAGGTCTGTGCATTATTAGATGCCAGTGAAAAAACCCCACAACAATACAACAAAAAATGGGACCAAGACATCACCTGCCAATGTTACAAAGAATTGGGGACAAAAGAGGCCACTCTCAGAAAATTGAAGATTTTCTTAACAATGCAGCCCGGCTTCTTGCCTTTTTCTATCAAATTGATCTAAATGGCTAAGCTCTTATTCCTTTCATTACTCTTTTCCTAACATGTCTTCTAAATGGTAGGCACAGAAGGAGTAAGTGGTATCTATCTCAGGGCTGATATTAGCTAACAAAGTCTAAGTGGAAAGTGTAACTCTATTACTCTTATACTCTAATAACTTTGTCCTGTCCTTAGCTCTCTCTCTTCTAGTAGCACAACCATAAGATCAAGTAGCTGATGCTCCGATATTTTAGCCAAAATCACAAAGTGGTTGGCAAGAATAAAATTATGACCCAAAGGGATTTAATTTACAGGCCATATATACCCCAAAGGACAAATCAAGATGGAGCAAAATGAAAGTTTACCATCTTTCAGGTGACTCTGGTGCTCTAGGCAGCCAAACAAATTCAAAATTTGGCCTATAATTATAATTACAATGTCAGTATAATTAAGTTTTTAGGGAGTATTTAGTTTGTATTGTCTGAAGTATTACCACTATGGCACATTTGACCCTTTCTAAAATTTTAATTTCAGCTGACCATCCAAAGGTATAATGAACATGGAACTGATTTTTTTCAGGGTACATAATTTAAGGAGTCAGAGATATAAAAGATTCAAGATGAAAAACAGTAATCCTGTTCTCTACCTTGCTTCTCACTAATTTTTGTTCCTTAGAGGTAACTGCTTTCAATTCTTATAGTTGTTGCCTCTATTTTTTAAAATATATTTTTATTGATTTCAGAAGGAGAGGAAGAGAGAGATAAAAAGTCATTGATAAAAGTCATTGATCAGCTGCCTCTTGCACACCCCCTACTGGGACCAAGCCAGCAACCCGGGCATGTGCCCTCACCAGGAATCAAACATTGACCTCCTGGTTCATAGGTCAACACTCAACCACTGAGCCACATCAGCCAGGTTGTTGCTTCTATTTTTAAGAATCCTAATTTCTAAGGATTGTTCTCATACTTACATTTCTTTTTTTTTAATTTTTTTATTTTTTAATTTTATTTTTTATTACAAAGGGTATTACATATGTGTCCATTTTTTCCCCCCGCCCAAGACAGTCCCCTAGACTCCCCTATCCCCCAGTGTCTTATGTCCATTGGTTATGCTTATATGCATGCATACAAGTCCTTTGGTTGATCTCTTACCCCCCTACCT